ACTGCTCATGCAATGGTGATCATCATGAAGATCATAACTATGGTATAACTGTCATAGCTATGAAATAGAATACTGGTTGGATGTGGAAGGCCTGGTCAGGCTATCTGGATGGGCCCTATATCACAGACCAGCTGTTAAGATTTTCAAAGTGTTTTTTGAGCCTCTGCTCCCAAACACACTCATATACATGTTATCTGGAAAACCTACATCTCAAAATTCCAGACAGAGATGATAAAACTAAATACCCAAATGTAGGTTATTGTACGCACTTATAGTATCCTATGCTCCCCCACCAATTGACTGCTCTTATTACTCTGTTTGCTATGCCCCCACTAGACTATAAGCTCCATGTGAGCAGGGACTATCTCCCGTAGCACAGTGCACAGGCAGGTGCTCAATAAAAGTTTCCTCAACAACTGGACATGAAACACTTTTAGCACCTCAGAAAAATAGGCCTTATATCATAATTTCAAATACTACTATAGCTTTGCTTACTTGTCAGCTGCCTTTGGCTTTATACTATCCTCTTGAAGGAAGGACAGTAAAGAGGGTCTGGTATGTTCTGTGATAGAACTGGCAATTGGCACAGTTCTAAGAAGAGCAATGTGCTGGCTACTAGTTTCTTCACAGAAGTCTTTTGGATCCAGCCTCCAAAACTCATCCCCCACCGAGATGACATAAACCTGGGCAACAGATGCCCTCAAGTCTCACACTGGGCAACAGATGCAGTTTCCAGGCATCAGCCAGGTACCTAATTCATTACTCCAGGGTTACGTTTCAATGTCTACAAGGGGATTCACTCCCATAACACCTGGTAAACATGTGAACATGTTATTAACTAAAATAAACTGCTTGCTAGATACTTATTGTATCATTTCCTATATCCATCTTTTTAGAAATAACTTCTTTCACAATCTAGTTTTCTTTTAAAATGACAGTACAAAATCTATCCTCTTCTTAAGCAACAAAGCTGATTTCTGAAAAGCTTAAAGTCATCCTACCTTCATGTTTTCTTTCACAGGTTCCAGACTTCCAGTTAGTAGCCTTGGGAGACGAACTATCAGATCTCTAGTCTATAGTTGTAAAACAATCTATTATTACTATGTATGCATATTTAACTAGTTTGGAAAAACAAGGCATTACTAGGAACTAGGAAGGAACACAAAACTAATTTTAAAATATGACCCATTAAGAAAAATGCTAGGAAGCCTGATAACACATAAACTTAATACTGTTTGAGGAGAAAACAAACACTGAAACCAAACTTAAGGCACCACCTTGATGGAATATTATAAAATGATATGGCTATATATTTAACATAGCAGGGTAATTCATTCTGGTACAAAAATACCAGGCATTTATAGAATTCATATGGGCTAGGTATCTGTTAGAAACGTGAGAGATTTAAGTTACTAAATGAAGCTGACACGGAAGTATACAAATTCTCCCCTTACCTTCTTCACGCTAAGTTCAAGTTCTTTCTGAAAAAATCCCAATCTGTTATCCAATCTTTCCACTGAAAAACTCAGCAAAAATGGTGCATTTCTGACCATCTGTGCAATATGTGCCTTACTGAAATTTTTTGACTGTAGATAAGCCACTCTAGAGAAACAAACAAAAAACACACGTACACATGATCAACATTTACTAATGTCATGCTACTTCCCAAAGTAACAAACCAAAAAAGGAATAAGTAAAAACATTCTATAGTAATGGCCCAAATATGGTTAAAGCAAAACAAGCATCCATCCAACTCTAGAATGGTTCCCATTTATACTTAGAAACCAAATAATTCTGAAATCTACTAACAGACTGATTCTCTTTTCAGTTAATCTGACTTATTTTATTACTTGATAGAAGAAAATCAAATAGTTTCTGTTTAAGAACAGAAAATCCATAAATTAAGAAACTAAGAGATTCCAAACTCTTTTTGTAAAGACCCTCAAGCATGGCTAAAATCGGGAGTTGTTTCAGTTAGTCAATTTCCTGAGTATTTATTTTCATAAATAATTTTTACCATGGTTTCCATTGTGCATTTTGTTAACAACTGAGAAATTCCTGTTCAGTTTCTGGGAACAAAAGTAAGGTAGTAAAATATAGAAAATATGACTATGAAATAACATTATTGATTTTAAAAACTTATAAGCACAGTAAGAAGCAGTTTTATTAAATGCCTAAAATATAGGAGGGCATGTTTAATTCTCACCAGAAAAAACAAAAAACAAAAAACATGTGAACCAGGTAAGTTTTCCACATTGCATTTGAAGAAACACAGATTCAGAGAAGTTAAATACCTTCTTTAGACCACGAACTGATTAATGACCAAGCTGAGATTTGAACCTGGGCATGCCTACATTGAATGCCACCATATGGCACGGTATATTCTATACCGTATGCCACCAGAGCTTATATTTTAAAGTGACTACTACTCCTTTAAAGGACTCTTTAGAGGGGCGCCTGGGTGGCGCAGTCGGTTAAGCGTCCGACTTCAGCCAGGTCACGATCTCGCGGTCGGTGAGTTCGAGCCCCGCGTCAGGCTCTGGGCTGATGGCTCGGAGCCTGGAGCCTGTTTCTGATTCTGTGTCTCCCTCTCTCTCTGCCCCTCCCCCGTTCATGCTCTGTCTCTCTCTGTCCCAAAAATAAATAAACGTTGAAAAAAAAAAAAAAGGACTCCTTAGAGTTCATGAGAAAAAAGGCCAATAAATTTAAGTATATAAACGTTTTAAATGCAAGGCAAAAAACAACAACAACAAAACCACCATTGACAAAGTCAAATGACAAATATTTACAATATGTCATAGAGAAACAACTACTTTTATTAAAATATAGAAGAACGCTTACAAAAGACAGAAAAAGTCCTAATTTTAAAATGGCAAAGGACGTATGTGATTTATGAAAAAGGAAATGGAAATGGAAATTTAGCATACGAAAAGATACTCCAAACATTTCTGGAACAACACTGAGGCAGTTTTTATGTACAAAATGAACTGAAACCATAAAGTTAGATGTCACAGTATTAGTGAGGGTACTAGAGAAACTGGCGCTTCCGTAAGATGTTGGTGGAAGTGTAAACTGGAAAACAACCTGACAAAGGACCACCTGTCAATACCTATTAAAATTATAAATGCACATACCCTTTGACCTAGCAATTCCCTTCTAGAAATCTGTCGTACAGTTATATACCACTATGTGTGAAACGATACATATGATAACGAGAGTCACTGCAGCCTTGTGATTACTAGTAGAGATTGGAAACAACCGCCATGTTTATCATAAGGGACTAGATGATCCTCAATATGAACTATACTAGCATTAAAAAGATAGGAAGTGCCAATACAAAACTATCTCTAACATACAGTTAAGGTAAGAAAGTGGGGTGCAGAATAGTATGCACAAAAATGCTGTCAATTGTATGTATGGAGATTCATGTATATTTGTACACACAGATCTACACATATGCTTGCATACGATAAAACATTCTTAACATGTTGAACACAAAATTGGTAATAGTAGCTGCCTCCACAGATAGGTCTCAGAAGGTTGATGAGGGATAGGAAATAAGTGGGTGGAAAGCAGAGTTACTTCCATGCCCCCCCCCATTTTTTTTTTGGTCATAGCAAAAATCAGTATCTGACTAAAACATTATCAAAACCTTTGTCTACATGGTGATAATTTTTCTAATAAAAAATTAAGATATAAGGCCCAGCCAAAATTTTTTTTTAAATGATTTAAATGCAGATTATTCACTTGAAAATTCTTATGAAGAATCAAATAACTTTTTTATACATTTGAAATTTTCCACATTCAAAAGACAGAAAGTATATGAAACCAATGCTATTACAGAAATCCTAGAAAATACGACTGCTGTACATACCAGAGACAAAAGTTAGTAAGTTCAATTAAATAAAGATTATCTTACTCTCGACTCTTACAGCAGAAGCTTATTTGTTGTCGAATGTGGATAAACTACCTATTAAAAAATTCCAAGTAATTAAAACAAATGCTCCAGAGTTTTGAGTCAGCTAGGTTTAGGGATCATTAGACCATGCTGTCTACGGGAGAATATCCCTTAGTTGTTAGGAGCATGCATGATCTACAGCAAGTAATGTCCGCTTCTTTTAAACTTAGGTTTCCTTCACAGAATTAGGAGTGGGGAGACAACATGGTGCAGTAGCCAGGACTCTGCAGTTAGACTAAGTGGGCCTGAATCCCAGCTCTGCCACTTATACTACCTGTGTAATCTTGGGCAAATCATTAAACCTCTCTGTGCCTCCTCTGTAAAATGGGGTTATTAGTAATATGGTGCAATAGTTAATGGTACTGAAATAGTGTTGTATGGTGATGGATGGTAGCTACACTTGAGGGGAGCACAGCATAACAGACAGCCTTATACAGACTTGTTGAGTTACTCTGTTGTACACCTGGAACTAACGTAGCATTGTGCATCAACTATACTTCAATTAAAAAAAATAATATCAGTGCAGTAGGCAGCATCTGAAATGGCTCCCAATCCCCACCTCCTAGTATACACACTTCTTTTGAATACATCTTGAGCAATAGGGCAAACTGGTGTTGGAATGGGGAGAGATCAGTGTTCCAGAATCAGAAGCAGAGCTGGATACATCAGACTGCGTTTCCTTTGTTCTCTCCCCTGTATTCTAATAGCCTATTTATATTATACCAGACTGTAAGCCCCATGAAGAGAGAGTGTGCATGTCTATCTTTTGTGGTTCAAGTCTAGCTAGGTGCCTTACATATCTAACCGCTCAAATTGTTCAATGTAAGGAATCCAGTTTTTTGTTGAGATTTTTCCTATTCCAGAGACAAGACACTGGACTCTGAAGCTTCAAGGAACTGCACAGTTCTCTGAAATGCATCAGTGTAAGAATAATCTGGAGGTGAAGACTAGAGGCGGACCAGTTAGGAGACTACTGCAGTAATCTTCATGTGAAATGATGGGGACCCGAGGTAACCTTCACAGTGAAGATTAAGAGAAATGTGTTGACTGATTTGAGAGAGATAAAAATGGAATTCATAGGTGATTTATTAGATGTGGATACTAAAAGAAGAAAAGTCAAAGTCAATACCAATATTTCTAATTTGGGCAACAAGGTGAGCAGTGCTTTATCTGGGAATACAGGGAAGAACTGACTCTTGGGTGAGAAGTGGGGATGAGGATAAATTCAAAACATGAATTTAGGGACAGGGGCTCTGTCTTGTTCTCTGTGGTGTTCCCAATGCCTAGCAGGATTCTTATCTCACAGATCAATACTGTCTCATTTCACCGTATTGATTCTCACAGATTTTTCTTTGAATGTTGAATGAAGTACAAAGATGTTTATAGAAGTGCTTTTTAAAGAAGAAAAAAAAGAACAACCAAAATAGCCAATTTACGGAAATGATTAAGCGAATTATACAATAATGTGCCAAGAGGATGCCAAATGTCTACCATCAAAAATTGGCCAGAAAAATAAAAAAAAACACAAAAAAGTTCAGGCTTTCATAATTTAAGTGCACTCTCAGAAAATTCAGCCATCTGCTAATGGATTAAAAATTTTTTTTATTCTGGTCTCCAAAGAGATACAGTTAAGTATTGACTCAGCAATAAGCTGAACACATAAAAGTATGAAGTTGAATAGTAAACTGTCTTACTTAATCTTGATCAAAGAAAATCTATAACAACAACAAAATAACATTCATGTTCATTATCAGTCAATCCTTATGCAGCTGAGACTTAAAAATAACTTACATATACATTTCCTTCATAACCATAACCACTTCTTGGGTTATGTGAAAATCATTGTAACAGCCCTACCTGGTCTTAAGATTTTCAAGGTCTTCAGAGAAAATAGCATAGTTTTTAGTCAGGTATGTTCCCAGTTGGTTATCCTCTATACCCAAATCTTTAAGAAACACGAGTATTTCCTTAATGTCTTTTTCAAAATCCAGTCTCAGAAGGAGGTTGGCTGCATCTGGATGTTTTTCTATCTTTGAGAGATCCACTCCTATAATAAATTGCAAATACTGTTTGAGGAAAACAGTTTAGGTAGGTCATTAAACTTCATACACAAAAACACAAAAAATTACTGATGAAGACCAACAACCTGTCCAAAGGAGAACTGAGATAGGCCAATAGCAATTTCTAAATATATTTAAACTAATCTGGTTGCAGAAATAAAAATAAATTAAAATGAAATATAGTACTTATTTCAAAGTCATCTATAGAGGAAAACAGTGCATTTGGGGCTAAATTTCTACCCAAAACAAATTTACCAAGTCATACTGACCTAGCTAGGATCATCACCTTTATCTATGCTTTCTTGAATATTGTTTGAAGGATGCTTATCAATCCCTGGTGATCTCCACAGTAACTGCTTAACTGGTAATTCTGCAGTGTAACAAACCCTATAAATGATTGTTACTTTCTTCGAAGTTTGTCATTTTCTTAGTTATAACCATTATTTTAAAAATATACTTATGATGGGGCATTTGGGTGGCTCAGCTGGTTAAGTGTCCAAATCTTTAATTTTTTTGTAACATTCATTTATTTTTGACACAGACAGAACAAGCAGGGGAGGGACAGAGAGAGAGGGAGACACAGAATTTGAGGTAGGTTCCAGGCTCTGAGCTGTCAGCACAGAGCCTGATGCGGGGCTTGAGCCCACGAGCCATGAGATGTTGACCTAAGTCAAAGTCAGACACCTAACCTACTGAGCCACCCAGGTGTCCCTAGTGTCCAACTCCTGATTTTGGCCTGGGTCATGATCTCTAGGTTCATGAGTTCACACCCCGCATCAGGTTTTACACTGGCAGCATGGTGCCTGCTTAGGATCCTGTCTCTCCCTCTCTCTCTCTCAAAATAAATAAATAAACTTAAAAATATATATATACTTATGATCCCCTCCAGAGGGTAAATAAAAATAACCTGATGTCTTACTCATTGTAATCTCCAGGTCTTCAGCATAAAGACAAGTACCTTGAAGGAGCTCAAGAAATATCTGTGAGAACAGGTGAGCGTATACAGCCCTCAAATATGCAACACTGCAGGAAGTATACAACCCGTAACCCTCACATATCCTTATAATCTTAGGTAGTCTAAGAAAATGAGACAAGGGACAGGAGAAAGGAAGAAGGAGAAAGCAAGTTGTTATTTTAAAGTATTCTCTGGTTATGGATATAATTAGATGTCAACATTAATTAGGCAGGAAATCAAAGTAACCTGTAATTCAAAATTCTCATTAAAACTGAGTGTTTTATTCTCTCATTTTTTCCTTTTATCTGGTTAAAAAAAAACATGAATAGGAAAGGCCTATTTCTTACCTTTAGAATAAACCTTTGAAGATAATGTAAAATTTCAAGGTTAGACTTAAATTTTATATTCTTAAAAATATTTCTTCAGGTTAAAAATACTCTAAAAACTGATTTCCAGAAGCAACTGTATAATCTTAAATATAAAAGCAAAGAAATAAAAACATTCTTTCTTTAATGGTATACACAACCAGAAAAATAAATTATTATATCCAAACATATTTGTAAACCCATATTTATTGATATTAAACAGGCATTGATATAAGATGATCATGAACAGAAAAGCAGATTACACAAACACGCACACAGAATGAAAAGCAGAAACAGATCCAGGATGAGCTAAATAAATAAAAAATTAGCATAAATAATGACATTTCAAATTAATGATGAAAAGATGGACAATTCATTAAAATATAATGGGATCACTAGCTATACATTTGAAAAGTAATTGTTTTCGTAACTACACTTATCATGGTGAACATGATATAATGTACAGAACTGTTAAATCACTATGTTGTATATCTGAACTACATAACGTATGTCAATTATACTTAAATTTAAAAAGTTCCTTCTACAGCTGATATAAAATTTCAGAAAGATTAAGAATCTAAATGTGTACTAACTCTACAACTACTAGAAGAACACAGAGTTTAAAAATATTAAGCTTGGGGCGCCTGGGTGGTGCAGTCGGTTAAGCGTCCGACTTCAGCCAGGTCACGATCTCGTGGTCCGTGAGTTCGAGCCCCGCGTCAGGCTCTGGGCTGATGGCTCGGAGCCTGGAGCCTGTTTCCGATTCTGTGTCTCCCTCTCTCTCTGCCCCTCCCCCGTTCATGCTCTGTCTCTCTCTGTCCCAAAAATAAATAAAAAACGTTGGAAAAAAAAATATATTAAGCTTGACTACATAAAAATATAAAACTCTTGTATGGTTTTCTGTAATAAATTGCAGAGAAAAAGGTGGGGAAAGCTATTAACAAATTGGTGATAGGGTTACCTTTGGAAAGTGGAAATGGATATGCAGAGAAGGTGAGAGTTCTTTCTCTTATGATACTTGCATTATTAACAACTAGATGTGATTATTTTATAATTTAAAAATAACATTAGTAGAAAAATAAATTAAAATTGTTAGATGAAAAGATAAGACAGAAACTAGTTCTAAAAATCTGTGATAAATGTGGGAAGAGGTGCTTTAAAAACAACATAAAGGGTTCAGACTTCAAATTTAATTTAATATTACAGCTGACATGTGCTGAAGTGCCTTGCTCAGCGTGAGCCGTCACACCCTGACTGTGCTGAAACAGAAATCCTGAAAAGCTGCTTTTTAACAGCAATAGGAGAGCAGAATCTCATCGGGAGAGCACGCTGCTGTCAGCACAAATCACTTGGGCTTACTCAAGATTTCATTAACTTGAAAAAATAATCACTGAATGCGTACTATGGACCAGGCACTCCTGTTAGGCTCTGGGGATATAAAAAATGAATAATACACGACGCTAACATCTAAGTGACCACAGTCTAAGTTGGTTTTATCTGTTCAGTAACTAAAAATATTACCACTGTATTCAGTTATGGTTATACATATTTAGTGTATCCACCAAGGTCTGGCAGGATTGCCCTAGAAAGTGCAAACAAAAAGAACTTTAATGAAGAGACTGTACAGTGTGGTGTCACAGAGTTGAGGGAACCGACAAGGGCACCCCTAGTGCTAACAAGACAGGCAACAAAAAGTATTACCAAAACCCACAGGGAGCTGTAAGCTATTGAGAAAGGGCTGCTCAGTTGGAGCTGTTGTCATGGAGCGAGGCAGTTATAGGACCCAAAGCTGGGAGGGAACAGAGAAGACAGTACTCCCACCTGCCCTCCCTCTCCTCCTGCAAGTGCCTCCCACTGGCTGAAGCTGCCCAGAAGCCAGCTGGCAAAGGAGCTCTAGTGCACAGAGGTTAGCCTCCTAGGATACAGACAGAATGGACAGAGAAAGGCAGAAAATAGATCTGAGAAGCAGAGAGGCACCAGGACACTAGGGTCCTTAAAAATACTGCTTGACCATGTAATCATGGGTCCTCTGTTCTGTCATTTAAATTACTTCCAAGATGTGCTGTCCACAAATCAACATACAGATGAACAGCTGAAACATATTCTAAAACTGTTAAGTATGCTGTAAATTATTTAAAGGCAGAGCCACGTCTTCTGTTTATCTTGTGTTACCCATAGTACTTCTCATAAGGTTGGAGGAAGCTGTTCCAAAAGGAAGGGGGCTGACTCTTCTGTTTGCAGTAGATGTCATCTTTCTCTCCCCTTTGACCCCACAAAACACTTTATTCATATGTCTTCTGTGGCACTTACCACTTTACCTTTCATCCTTGTAGGCTGGTTATTCTTATAGATGTATATTTAGATGCTTCTAAAGACTTGAAGCTTAGTGAGAACAAAGGCCATTCCCTGTACATTTGGGTCACTTGCATAGGAACAGGTAAGTAAGCAACTGTAATACTGTTATTAGCACAAGAAAGGCAGTAAGCTGCGGGTGATAGGAACACCCAGCGAGCGGAGGGTCACTGAAGACATTTTAGAAGTTACTTGAACTTGAATTAAGTTTTCCAGTTGTCAGAGCTGGCCAACCAAAAGGATGGAAGGGGCAAGCAGTGAGCAGGGGCCAGACCGACAGAGCTCTGATATCTTGGGAAGGCTTTGAAGGTCTTCAAGTAGCTCACTGATGTAGTCAGATCTGCATTTTAGAAAGAGAACTGATATTAGGGATCATCAGGGTAATGGTGCTGATAAGACGAATATCAAGTTAGAAAACTCCTCATTTTCCAGTGAAAAATAAGGATCTAAACTATAGAAGTGACTGGAGAATGAGAGTAGCACATGGATTTGACAGAGAATCCCTCACCTACCCTGCTCCTCTCAATCCCCTAGGAGAAAGGTTTGTCATATGGGAAAACGAAGCCTGAGAAGTGCCAGACCCAGAGATAATGAGAAAAGCAGAAGGCTGAAATAAGATGCTGGACTGAAAATGAGAGGACCAAGTAAAAAAGCCTGTGGTGGGGTCCCGTGGCTGCCTTCAACTCTCCAGGCCCAAGTATGTCCTCCCAACCAACAAGCTGAAATACACTGGAGTAGGCCTAGAGACAAACCATCGAAATTAGGGGGGCAGTGGGCTTCAGGAGGAAGGCTGTTGGGGGGGGGGGGTAATGGAAGTAATTCCTCACCTGATAGGGTTTACTGTAGGAAAAACTGTCCTGAGAGGCTATTGGAAGGTGTGGGAAAATCTGGCTCTAGAAATAAAGAAAACGAATCAAAGGAAAAACAAGAATTATCATTAACTATGGAAAAATGAAAAGTTGTACAGGAAGGAAAACAATCCCAGGACAGCAAGCAATATTGATAGTCATAATGTTAATTGATGACTGATGATTCATCTAAAATTTGTTACCATAAACATACTGGGCAAACTGAGTAGGGGAAAGGTATGTGTGTACATACAAGAGAGATCAAGTAACGTCTAAAGCTGATGAACCAAGAAATAACAGTATAAACAATTATATAAACAAAGGTTAACTGTAAACAGAGCCGTAAAAGTTGAGTGGATACCTCTGGGGAAAGGCATGAAGGTCAGGAAGGATGAAGCAGAGAATATGGGTTTTCACTAGAGGGCTTTTCACACTATTTGACTTTTGTTCATCTTGATAAAGATTAAGAATGCTGATTTGAACAAAGTAAGGCAAAATAACACAGATGAAGACTACACCAAGAAGTACTTGTAGGTTATTCAGACTTACCTAGAAGCACTAATTTCTGCAGAGTCTCAGAATGATCCACATAGTCTCGAAGGGTGAATGTATCTGGGGGCAATGGAGGGTCTGCAATAATCTGAATGGCCTCCTCCTCGGAAACTGGCTGCAACGGAGACAATGGAGGCAAATCGTCCAGTGCTTTGAAGCCAGCCATGTAGAAAGAAGGAAGCAGTTAGCTATCCAGTCTGTACAGCTAAAGCTAAACCCCTTCTTTTTAAATCTTGGAACCATTTCAGAATTAAAGATCTGAGTTCAAATATTTTCCACCTTCAGAGAGGTAAGGTTAAGACTATTTATAGAGAAATCAACTGCTGTTCCTCCAAGATAAGAAATCTGTTGGTAAGTTTCTATTCATAAAGAGGTCCTATACAAAATTCCTTTCCTTTGTTTTACTTTTAATCAACAGGTAAGAATGCTAAAGATCAACTGACCTTCAAGTATATTTTGAGATAGATTCTACCATAGCTTGTTAAACTGGACCAAAATACAACATATTCTACCAGCCTGATTTGTATGAGTTAAAATCATTATCTCCTGAAATATCTTTTTTTTTAATGTTTATTTATTTATTTTGAGAGAGAGCAAGAGGGGGAAAGAAAGAAAGAGAGAGGGGGAGAGAAAGAAAAAGAGAGAGAGAGAGAGAGAGAGCGAATCCCAAGCAGACTCTACACTGTCAGTGCAGAACCCAACACGGGGCTCGATCTCATGAACCGTGAGATCATAACCTGAGCCGAAATCAAGAGTCAGATGCCTAACCAACTGAGCCACCCAGGTGCCCCCTGAAATGTCTTTTGATGCAATCCCCTTTCCTCCAAGTTATTCTCAAGTATGTTGGTTAAGCGTCTGACTTCAGCTTAGGTCATGACCTCACGGCTCGTGAATTTGAGTCCTGTGTTGGGCTCTGTGCCGACAGACAGCTCAGAGCCTGGAGCCTGCTTCGGATTCTGTGTCTCCTCTCTCTGCCTTTCCCCTGCTCATGCTCTGTCTCTCAAAAATAAATAAACATTAAAAAAAAATTCAAAGGACTTCTGTGACTCTGTTTCTATCACCTGTAGTCCTTCCCTAAGGACATGACCCTCTCTGGTATAGTCTTGATTCTGATATTTTCTTTAAACCAAACAAGGTATGGAAGACACTGGGAACTGTCACCAACCTTAAGCTAAAGAATCAAGACTATGATTTTTTTGTTCCATTTTTTGCTTCATAACACTACCCTTTCTTATTTCGTATAGCCAGTCTTTCCTCCCTGCCCTCCTCAACCCAGCTATCTTTCTTTCATATTCTGCTTAACCTAATATTACCTCATTGTGGTGAAATATTCCTTTTACAGAAATATTCCTAAAATAGAAAACATAGAAGGGAGAGGACTGACTAAAAAATGACACAACGGTGCTTTCAGGGGTGTCCCATTTGTGCTCTTTTTGGTTTGTTGATTATGGGAGCTATTATATAACTAAATGTGTATGTCAAAATTCGTAAAACTGTATATTCAAAAGCAATGAATTTTACTTGGATAAAATTATATCCTAATCAGGCATATAAAATTAGGATAAATTATTCCCTAATAAACCTAATTACCACCTGAAAATATTTTTATAAAGATTCTAAATAATAAAGTTTTTAGAAAGCAACTGTTATACATATAGCTAGCTATAATGATATATATATACATATATATGTGTATATATACACAAATTTATGAACTTGTTTTTTTAGTCAAAGATATAATAGAAATAAATGAACAGAACCAGCATTGTTCTTTTCCTTGTGTGGTACAAAGTTATAACCTGAAATGGGCTAACAGACTATAAACAGTTAACTTGTTCAAACTAACAAAGTGGGGCAAAGGGGACTTTTCTGGAAGTTCAGAATTACCTTCTAGAGACAGCTCAGAATCAAAGCTGGGTATCTTTTGTGTCTTCTGTGTCTGCTCATTGACGGAAGGAAGCAGAGCACTCTGGGCAGAACTAATCTCTTGCCTACTTGAGTTCGTAGACTGGGAACTATTCCACAAGGAGGAAGTCCTATAAGTCTTAAATCCCCATGGGAGAAAGCAATTGTCAGAGGACATCTGTGGCTGAGCAGAAAAGCCATGCGACAATGTTTTTCCTCGTCTCTGAAACTGTTTTCCGAGTTGTGTAGCTGTAATGAAGCTAATCAACTTAACTGAATTGAACCATCTGGGTATCTGTTGGGCTGACAAAGCCATCTTTCTTAAAGTAGGCTACAAAGGAAATATATAACAGTCAAAAGAGAGAAACTTACTTTACTTAAATGTTTAAAACAGTATTCAAACAACAAAATGATAAACTGGAGAATCTTTTTTCTAACTGAAAGATGTTTAATAAATCTAGATGATTAGTCAGATGTTTCCTAAGCACAAGAAAAGCCATAAGCAAAGCAGTCCCAGGTATAAACCAAAAGACAGGAACTTCTGAACTGGAAAAATAAAGATTGCTTTACAATTAAAAAAAAAAATCATTGGTATAAGAAAAACACTTAAAACAAAAATCTGTAAATGTTTAAATTACAGCTGAACCCAATAATCTGTTTATTTAATATTTAGAGGAAATAAGGTGATATTAAGTGTTCTTGAAATCTGGTTTGAAAGACATTTAAGAAGCGATTGTTAATCAAAACACTGACTTATTCAAATGCATTTTATGTATGTACATTAGTCACAAAATAAAAAACAATAAAAAAATCTACCTTGTCCTAAATGAATTATCAAAATATTATCACTGTTATCTAGAAGATTGTTTCTCGCTTTATTCTCAGGGCTGAACATTGTTAAGATAAAGCTGTTCCTCAAAAGGGAATTGAACAAAACCAGTTTTGTCAAATTTTGTTTTTGGTTATAGAAAAAGAAAAAGAAAAGCCTTGAAAAACAAAAGGTCAAAACTAGCAAGCAAAATGAAGTGACAGAAATACATATGCAACCAGCAATGAATACATGAATATTTTTACTGAAAAAACAGTGGTTTTTAAAAAAGATTTTTATAAGGAAATTATGAAGAAATCTTGTCTACATCCAGCTTCATTAGAAGAGTAGACTTGCAGGGCGCCTGGGTGGCGCAGTCGGTTAAGCGTCCGACTTCAGCCAGGTCACGATCTCGCGATCCGTGAGTTCGAGCCCCACATAGGGCTCTGGGCTGATGGCTCAGAGCCTGGAGCCTGTTTCCGATTCTGTGTCTCCCTCTCTCTCTCTGCCCCTCCCCCGTTCATGCTCTGTCTCTCTCTGTCCCAAAAATAAATAAACGTTGGAAAAAAAAAAAAAAAAAGAAGGGTAGACTTGCTGCATATAATTTTATGTTAAATAAGATAATCCACATAAAACACAGCCTGGAGTCCAGCATATGGAAAATGCTCAACAAATGTTAGCCATTATCACTGTTATTGATTACACATCCAAACAGAAATGAATTCTGAATTAATTGCAGCATACAATTTCTTGTTTTTCTACATATTGGAATTCAGCTTGTTTTATGATCTGAATTAGAGCAGATATTGAAGGTCTAACCTCCTTCTGGAGATTTGTAGTTTAGGGAAATTTCCTGAAAGAGATTTACAAATGTCAAAGTCTGTCATTCTGAAATGATTTTAGAAAGGAAATAAGTATGCACAAGAACCGTGCGGGATTGGTGCTTTTTGTTAAATTCTGGTAGGAAATGATCCTCCAAATCTGTCAAGTTTCCACTAAAACCTACAACATTGATTCTCTGCACAAAGTCATAAGGGAACTAAACTGGAAGCCAGAAGGCCTCGGTTGTGCTAGTTGACAAGACTATTTCTTGTGGTGCTGGGCAAATTGGCCCATGAAGGGGGTTCAATAACTATTCTTTAAATAACATTTTTTTAAAAGGTTATAGGTACAGTAAGATGATTCTTAAAGTCCCTAGCAGCTCTAAAATGTTTTTTGACTTCTAAGTTTGTCGAAGCATTTCATACTACTTTGATTTCAAAGCAAACTCCTTAAATCCCACATTCACTGTAAAGACTTTCCAGCCTCACATATCGCGCAGATGAGCTTTTGAATTCCATCCATATTCATTACAAGACCTTTTGCGTACAACTGTTTATCCCATTTGTATTTACAAGTGCACTAACCTCTCTTCCTCAACATTTCATTGCTGTAGATACCTTTTAACAATTGATGAATTATTCGGTCATGGGAGCTGGGATGGGTCCTCTCTCTCGACCCACCCTCCCATTAGCCCAGAGTCTTGCACTGCTCCAATGTGTGTTGGATGGAAGTGAGTCAGTTCCAACTACGGCTAACTTATTTGTCTAGCTCGGTATTCAAAAGAGGGTAAGGCGCTTGCAGACGTGCATAAAATCCAGCGTACTGGTAACAGGAAATATAACACAACTTCAGTAAGATCAAAGAAAAAAGCCTTAAAGAATTCTGTAAAGTCCATTAAAATATCACACACTACTTCTTGCTCCAGTTCCTCGCTAGGAATAGTAATTGGGACTGAAGTACTGTTTTTCCAGGGTTCAAGATTTCTACCTCTGTAAGGCTAGTTAGCGAAATCAGGAGGTGAAAAAGGGGTGAATGGGAGAAAGGCTTCGTTATAAGGGGCCTCTCCTAACAAGCCTCCATAGCGAACTTCCGCAGGAAGCCAGCTGACAAGCTAGGCTTCCTTCCGCAAAACACGCTAATAGACAAGCATGGTTGAGATTTCGCGTCGTCGACCAGGGAAAAAAACAAAACAAAACAAGATTAATTGCCCCCGATAGGGTCGCGGAGACCCGAGAGCCCTGAGGCCCCGGGTGCGGCTTGGACGTGGGCAGATCCGGACCCGAACCCCACCAGGAGCGCGCCCCTCGCGCTCCGGCGGCTCCCGCTTTACCTGTGGCGAGGCCCAAGCTCGCGGTTTATTTTGGGGTGGCCTCCAGGCTGGCCCGGCGGACCGTCCCGCAGTACCCCACGCCAGCCGGTCAGCCAGCCCCGCCACCCCTGCCGGCCACCGCCGCCGCGCACCCTCGCCCACGTGGACTGCGGCCGGAGTGGGCGAGACTATCTGCGAGGCTGCGCGGGGGGAGAGCGGGCGGCAAGCGGTGGGAAAAGAGCCGGCCAGGGGCCACAGCTTCTCTTCTCTCGCACGCCACTTCCCTTAGGCCTTGGCCACTGGGCATCTGAAACACCACGAGTCCGTAGAGATGCTTCTGCTGGAACGCCAGCGCGGGCACGGCCGGCGCCGCCCCCCGCCCGAGTCCGCGTTGGCGGCGCCTCGACCCCGCCCTCCCGCGCCTGTCCTTCCCTCGGCTCCCAGCTTGTGCTCCGCGCCAGACTCGGCCCCGCCGTCCGGCTGCCCGCTCGCTGCGGCTCGTCACCTCCCGGGTCCCAGCCTTCACGGGCCGGGGCCGCCGCCGCCGCCGCAGGACGGGGAGGCGGGCCATGGCGTCCTGCGTGGGGAGCCGGACCCTGAGCAAAGATGATGTGAACTACAAGATGCATTTCCGGATGATCAACGAGCAGCAAGTGGAGGACATCACCATCGACTTCTTCTACCGGCCTCACACCATCACCCTGCTCAGCTTCACCATCGTCAGCCTCATGTACTTCGCCTTCACCCGGTGAGGCGGGCCGAACCGCGCGGAGGGAGCGCCCTTGGGCGAAGGGAAGGGGCCGGCGGGAGGCGGTGGTGAGGAGCATGGGCCAGTGTAGCTCTGCGTGAGGAATCCGGCTGGCTGTTCCACGTACACCCTCGCAGACCCTCCACCCGTCAGTTCCTCCACCGGCCCGGTGTCTCACTGCACACGCAGCTAGTTCTGCCCTACAGCTCCTCTGGACTGGCGTTGGCCCTACCCTCCAACCCCCACCCTCACCCCCCACCCTATACGACCCCCTCCTGTACAGCGCTTTGGGCCATATCAGGCGTACTCGCGAGTCACCTAGAGCGATCCCCATCTCTCCTATCGCACCGAGCATCCTCCCCGCACACATCACGACACGGCCCCTTCCTCTCCAGCCCCCGTCCCTACCCAGCACACCGCATGAATCATCTCCTATGCACCACTTTCAGCACATACCGCTACATGGCTGAAAGCACACCGGTCCACAGCGTCTCCACGTACCATACACGGGCCCAGGGCACAACCTGGATCCCTTCCCTTGGATCGCCTCCAGTTTTCAGCACTACGGGCCATGCACAAAATGCACATGTGAGTTGCACTACACAGCCTTTCCCATGCAGCACCTCCTGTAAGTGTGGCACACAGACCATCTAGCATAACCCTTCCCCCAGCCTGAAACAGGACTATCTATATACCACAACACAAATGATGTAGACACCTATCAAAGCTGACCTTTCCCCTTCCAGCGCAGCCAGTACCTGTCACCTGTTGTGCACATTGCTATACAAACACCAGCCCACTGCGTATCACACAGTGCACACTCTGCCTGGTTCATCATCTAACACATATGCTGAAATGAGATATCGTCAAGCAATTGTAGCAGTGTCTGGTGCATAGTAAATACTGTGGAAGTGATACCTAAAACACATAAACCTCAATATAGCACAACTCTCCTTTCTCCCTAAACACACACACACATCCCCATACGGTCAAAGCTCTTCTAATATATACTTGTGCATAGGAACTACCCAGCCCAACTCTTGATACCTACATCATATAACTGTCCCTCAACTGAACATATGGCCCCTCACCCCCAAGCAAGGGAACCATTCTATCCCTTGTTCATAATGACATGCGCACGGTGGGTCCTACTTACAAGGACTTGTATTTTCTGAATGAACCTCTTTAAAGAAAGGAAAGGCATGCCTATCACGCTGCTATGTTTTAAAAGATCAACCCAGGAAAGTGTAGTTTTGGAGCCAGATTGTTGGCTTCAGAAGTGTCTGTGTGTCCTTAGTTGAGTTACTTAACCTTTCTCTGATCCACATTTGTAAATTGGGGATAAAATATGTACTTACCTCATACAGGTTTATGGGTATTAAGTGAATATGTGTGAATGCACTTAAGAGTATCTCCTACACGATGCGCAATTAATGTCAATTACTTCTCTTAGTATTTTTGTCTGACAATCAATGGTTCTCAGTCCAAGTCAGCAGACAATGTGCAGAGGTATATTGAGTGGTCACAAGCATTGGAACTTCTGGTGTTTTGTGGGTGGGGATTAAGGATGCTAGATGTGTTATGACGCATGGGACAGCAGTGTACAGCAAAGAATGAATTGTCCCCTATATAAATGCATGTGTCTGCATGTACACATACAAGATAAACACACATGCACACATGTTAAGTGCCAGTGGTGCCTCCATTAAGAATCACTGAAATTTTTCACATTTTCATAAAACTAATAATATTCTTCCACATCACACGTGTTTCTTACTTCCAGAATCCAGTTGACTCTTCATTCCTATTTTGTGTTCATCTATTTGCATAAATCTACCTATAAGGAATACATAACAATAATTACTCTTAATGATTACTCTTAATGATTGAGGGATACAGTTGCTATTATTGTAAAGTCTTCTGCTAATGCTATGCAGTGTGTTAAGACCAGATATTTCCATAGTATCCAACCAAGAACTTATTTCTAGCCTTGGAGAATACTCATTCTTGTCCCTAATTATGGTTCCCTTCAAATACTTCATTCGTCATGTCATCTGATTTACCACTTAATAGTAATGTGGCCACTTAGTTTTGCTAAGCCACAGTTTACTTATTTATATGTAAAATGAAAATATCTAATAGTACTCCATAGGATTGTCTAGCATGAGGGTTTAATTCATTTTTTTAGGTAATCTGTGTTTAGCTCAGTTCATGACAAATAGTTAAGTGCTTAGTAAACATTATCTATTACTATTACATCATTTCATTGTATGCTAATGCCTTCTAGATTATATTTCTCATTGAATGAGGATGAAGTATGCTCTATTATTGACAAAAGGGATGAAGGCATTGGAATAGTGGACGTTGCTTTGCTTGGATAACATACATGCCTGTTTATTATTAGCTTTGGTTTAACTCATCTCCTGTGTGGATTGGCAATGATGTAATTAGTGCGGGAGTTTCTTTGGAAATAAGAAAAGTAGTTACGGTATTTTATTCTAAATGAGAAGCAAGAATGAGCAGTTTGTTTCCACCTTTTATCTTTTTTTTTAAATAATTTTTTTTTTCAACGTTTATTTATTTTTTTGGAGACAGAGAGAGACAGAGCATGAACGGGGGAGGGGCAGAGAGAGAGGGAGACACAGAATCGGAAACAGGCTCCAGGCTCCGAGCCATCAGCCCAGAGCCTGACACGGGGCTCGAACTCACGGACCGCGAGATCGTGACCTGGCTGAAGTCGGACGCTTAACCGACTGCGCCACCCAGGCGCCCCCACCTTTTATCTTTAATGTTACTCTAGGCCCCCTAAGAATAGATCTTTCTTCCTTTTTTCTAATACAGAAAGTCGCAGTCTTCTGTAACTTCCCCTTTACAGCATATTCTGCCAAAGCAGTCGATAAATTGCAGCAGAGAATATGAATTTCGACAGCTTGTCAAAAGTAATGGAAAAGGCATAATCTAAACCTCAGGCTATATGGTCTTTTCCAAAAATCCTCATCATTTTATTTCTTTGAATAGTTTCATAAAGAGAAGTCGTATATTGAGGAACTCATTAATAACCAGTTTCACCTTATATAAAATTATAAGCACCATTAATGTAGTTGGTACTTATTATCTCTTATTCATTTTTTGTATGATTTGTGATCCTTTAAAGTGGGACCTTACAGTGATCGCTCTTTCTCCATAAAGATTGAAAGTAATGACTTAAATGAAAATTATTCATTCTGTGCTCTTTTGTAATGATTGTCTCCAGTACCTTGTACTTATTTTACAACAGGATTTTAGTTGGATGACTGTTCACTGCAATTCTTTCAGTAAAACTTTCAAAATATGCCTTAACGTTTGTTTTTCAAAGACTAGTGATCTAGAATACTTTCAGGGTGCCATAGCAGCAGTCGGCGAGAAACAGTACTGGGTCACGTCACATGCTGTAGAGACACAGCAAGAATTTAGGGTCGTGAAGAATTAGATACCATGCACAGAAGTCGGAGACAGGGTTGGATTTGTCAAGTAGTTCTTTTGTTAAATAGCAACTAGGTCAACTCACTCTTAAATCGTAGCGTTTAAATCTCCTGTCTCTTTCACTGTCATTAAAAATGAAGCCGGGTACCATTGAATCATTCTCCCTAACCTCATTTTGCCACATTTTAGGATAAGTATTTTTATAAGATAAATGCTTTGGCACGTATTTTGGAAGTTTGTTCAGCCACAATGGGGTCAGGAGAACCTTTGCCTTGAGCTCAGAGTATAATTGCTAAGGTGCCTCATATTTGCTCTGCTTTCAGAGATTGGCGAACTTGGAAATAGTGAATGGCTTTAGGTTCAAAAACCCAAACGTTAGATTTGAAAACACCCAAGTCTACTAACACGTTCATAGCAGCCCACCCCCTCCTTAAGAGGCACTTGGCAATGAAACAGTGGCATCCACCTGCCCAGGAGCTCTCGTCCGACAACCATGTCCCTTACGCAGAGGAGATTGCCCTCCTACAGCTTGCTGTACCTAAGCGCTTCGCTGTCCGTCTGTGCTAGCTTTCTCCTTGATAGGAGGCTGAGGACGCAGGTGAGGGCAGGGAAGTGGACAGACGTTTGATTTATTTATTCTTATTTGCTTGTTAATAATGGTTTTTACCTTATTTCCCTTCGGTGGATTTGGAAGAACTATAGTTCTGCCTTCTTTGTCAGCTTCCCTCATGGATATCTGCCAGCCTTCCCTGTTCTTTCCCTTTTAGACCATATAAATCCCATTAGAAAACATCTCCTGATACTGCTGACTCAGTTGTCTTAGTTCTGTTTCCTTTATGTACATCATGTTCTTTCTCTCTCATTAACGGAAGGCCTGGATGTCCTTGTTCCCTGACACCAGTTCTATGAAGTGATGGTCCACAGGGCTGTGTGCTGGGGTTCAACCAACCCTGAGGTCACCAACCACTGTTGGGTGGTGCCCTCTGAAGAGGTTCACTTAACAGTGATCTTAATATTTCTCTTTTCCACTTCCTATTTGGATTTTATTTTGTGATGGATTTAAGTAAGCATCTTCTATATCCTCTCTTATATTTATGTCTAGTGTTTTAGGTCCCCAATAAGATTACAAGGTCCTTGGAGGGGAAGATGTATCCTATATTTCTTTGGGGTCTTCTGTAGGAAATAGGTTCCTGGGTGACTTCAGATGTTCATTTGGTTTTGATGCTGCCTTACCTCAGAGAGATTCCATGCCTAGGGATTGCTACGTGGTATTTAGCATTTGAGCTGTAATTCTGTTACCAAGTATAATACAGTTAGTCTTGTGATATAATCCCTGTAGCCTCAGATTTCTCTAGTGAAGTTAGCAGGTTTTCAGCCTCCCTGAATTCAGAAACCAGACATTGTCCAGTCAGCCAGGACTGCTTCCTGAGCCTTTGGCCCTGGCATCCTGTTTAATTCAGTTCAACAATTCAGTAGTCCAGGTCTCCGCTCACCTGGAGTACACCTAGTTTATCTTCACCAGGTCTCACAGGGCCTTC